GGGCAATGAGACGGGGTACACCCTGGACAGAGTGCCAATCATGGCAACACAGAGACACACAGGACAACCAATCATGCACACACACACACACACACACACACACACACACACACACACACACACACATACACACACACACACACACACACACACACACACACACACACACACACACACACACACACACACACACACACACACACCTAAGGACAATTTAGACAGACCAATCAACTTAACAGTCATGTTTTTGGACTGTGGGAGGAAGCCGGAGAACCCGGAGAGAACCCACGCATGCACAGGGAGAACATGCAAACTCCATGCAGAAAGATCCCAGGCTGGGAAGCGAACCCAGGACCTTCTTGCTGCAAGACAACCACTGTGCCACAGTGCAGCCCCTGACTTGAGCATATTTGATATTTTAGTACAAAAGTGGCACGACATGGACAAAAATCATAAATAATTATTCGTTCTGGGTTTGATCTTGCACTACCTAATGCAGCAGCACTTTGTTTATAATCAGTTTCAGTTGCACTTTCTGCTTGTTTGAGCAAATAAATGAAGCTTTAAGAAGTTTTATTTCTGGAATATATTTATTGTCATTGTCATTAAATTGAAGTTGGACAGATGACTTGATTATGACTTGAAGATTCAAAGTTAAGTACTTGGACTCGACTTGAACTTGGTTGTCTTTGACTTGGACTTAACTCGAGACTTGACTGGAAAGACTTGTGACTTATTTGTGACCTGCAAAGCAGTGACTTGGTCACACCTCTGCAATTCAGTGAGATTCCAGCCTAACATTTGCATATTTTCTCATTATTTTGGGTCTAACTTGACGCGGTGGGATCCAAGCCTTAGATTTACAAACACACAAAGCTTTTACTCGTATAGCTTGCCAACATTATAGATGGCGGGTGTGTGTGCATATTAGCGGTTCACGCAGTTTGTGTCATTCCAAGAGGGAATGAGAACAGAAACTTTTATTGCACGCTTGATATCTTGACAGGAGAATTAGTCACAAAACTTCAGCTGAGTTTGATTTCATTTCATTTTTCAGAAAACTAACAGTTGAAACCGAGGCGGAAACACAATATAACCATAAATCACAATCGTCACATCCTGCTCTATGCGGTACTCTGTGGTTCTGTAGCATTAGCATTGTCTCCTACTGTGCTACGACTCCGCGCCAGTGTAACACAGTAGATGAATAACACCAGAGCAGAAAGGGAAGATGCAGCTGTGCGCCAGGCGAGCTGCAGCCCTGTTGCATGACTGAACGGCTCTATTCTAGATTCATTACAACATCCTATTAGATCTGTTAATGCTGAGCGAGATCAGGCAATAGCAACAGTCCAGGAAATGCACTAAATCAAAAGTTAATCTTTTTGCTTGTAATAAATCTGCCAGAGTGAAGCAGAGAAGTGATATGTTTTATTCAGCAGCTGGCACACGAACAGCCTCTTTGCTGTCTCCTTGGGTTTTTAAACTCTAAAACCGGGTTCGGCCCCGTACCCAGACGGAGTTAGGGCCTCGCCGTGTGAGTGTGGAACGCATATCCTGTGCTACTGGGAGCTGGAAGGCAGATGCTGGATGTGCAAAGCGGAGCCAGATGGGACAAACAGTGTTTGGTGAGCTGAGCTGGTCAGGTTATAAGTCACAGTCAGGTTGGGGGTGGAGGGTGTGCAGAAACTGTGTAACTTGTGATGGGACAGTGTGTTCAACCCTTTATGACCTGACGAGTCAAATAAAAACCCAAAACCACAAATCCAAAAAAAAATGAACTCTTCAAATGAATATTAACATCATTCTTAAATTAGCTGTTTGGTTTTATTGTATAACAATTTAATAACCGATCTAGACCAACCGAGCCACGCTCCGTCTGAGCCTCAGAAGGTCTGCCATTGGCTCATTTTAGATTGGACCAATCACAACGCTGTTTGTAGAGAGATGCTAGGGAGCTCAGGACCGGAATATACTTGCTGTTTAAAATGGCGGCCACACGTAACTAGCGTTGATTTGAAGTGTTGTTTGTGCGTGTCGCCCTAAAATAATGTGATGTGTCCAAACGCTGCAATAAACGAGTCACCAGCAGGAGGAGTTGACAAAACGAGCAAGACACACTCACCATGGTGACTCCGTCTCTGGTTTAGAGATCTTTCACACCATCTGCGACACCACCACTCTTTTTTTCTGTCATGATCTCAGAATTAAGCAGTTACTGATCTCTTCCATTGATGCCATGTTTGTTTTGGTTGTACCCACAAACCTGGCTCTGATGTACCCCCTAGTGGAACACTCCAGTATTACATGCAGTGCAATGCCGTGCAGCAGCAAGAATGTAAACTAATTGGCTAGCTGGTTGAAACGCAGGTATCATCTGGCACAGCACCAAAGCTAATAGTGCTAAGTGCCACTCTAATGGAGAAAAACTACAATGATGGCAGGGGCTCAGGAACAACTTTGGACGATTTAGACTAGGGCTTTCTTTGAGACACGAGCAGATAGAAGAATGTATTTAGAAAAAGGATGCATTTGCTGTTGCTTCTTCTCCTTCTCTGATGGTGTACGGCAGAAAACTCGGTATATTTTCGTAGTGACGAACGTGCCCCATTTTTCGTTGCTCTGATTCGTTCTAGCACTGTCCAGTAGCATTCAGAGACGGTATCAAAGACAAACGTAGATTCCACCCCCGACTGAGCTCTATCTATGGTTCATGGTTCATAGGATGACTTGCCAGTGAGCAATGAACAATAATGGACTCTTGCAGTTGCAGTACTTAGATCTTCCAGCAGAAGACAGATGCATGAGTTTCTGAGCAACGCACTAATAATGCTAAAGAGCTGGAGCTCTTACAATCTTACAAATAATGTAAATGAAAGCTGCCAACACACAACTTGTAGGTTAACTTTAATCCTTTATTAATGTATCACTCCCGAAACAAGCAAATAAACAAAAATCCCCGTTAAAGACAATACATCTGATTAATCTGTGTCTAGTTCCCTAAGATTTCAGCTGCAGCCTTTCCTAAATTAAATTTTATCCTGGATGTTTTCCACAACTTTATCCGAGCTGAAACCAAACTCCATCTGAACAACTGCCTTCACGGTTCCTGCAAGCCCGTGTTTATTACAGGTTTAATTACTGCTATTCACATTTATCCATCCATGAATTGTTAGTTGATCTTTGAGAACGTTGGACAATGTGAACCATATTTCTGGTGTTGGGGGGCGGTCGGCGCTCTGGAAGGGGAAGTGTAACTCAATCACTCTCCCCCTCCTCTCCATCCACATGATGAGGTGCCAGATGCGTGTCAGTGGTCCCAGACTTTATACATACATACATACATACATACATGTATATGTATGTATATATATATATATATTCCTCCCACATCCAAACATTAACAAATCTGAGTACACACGCACGCATGCACGCAAACACACACACACACACACACACATATTCCAGTTGTTTTAAATGCACAGACAGGCGTTTAATGTTGTCCCGAATCATCGTTTTTTGCTTTTCTTTAATCAAATGTTAAAACGACATTTGCCTTAACCCTGCTACAACCACCCCCCACCCACAGATCTACCAGCTGTATAGACTTAATTTATTTTGAAAGAGGCCTGCCGTATCAAAGGCCTTTGTCTTTAAGACTCAGTGCAATAAAATCCTGTTTGGGGAGCAGCGGAAGGGAAAAAAGAAAAGAGTAGGGAGCGAAGAGTGGTAACACACACATGCTGCTGTGTGATGTGGCGCTCTGAGAGGACTCACTGGGAGGCTGATGGCTAATTAGATGAGAGGTTTGTTGCTGAGAACCAGAGAGTCACTGAGGCTAAATGATGCCCTCTACAGTAGAGGCAGAGGGCACACGGAACAGCGTCATCGTGCTGTTGAATGGTTTTGCTATAAAATTATGTTATTTGTTCATTTTAAGCAATAATGACACATATATGCACAATTTAATTACAGTTCAGCAAAATTTATAGCAAATATCCCCCAAAAAAAGTTTAATCTGAAAAACGACCACAGTTTACTGAAGTTGGGTTATTTAAGACAGGGTGAGAGGTGATCCTTTTTGGGAATATTTACTGTTTTTATGACTGAAAACCAATTCACTAAATTTAAACAAAACAAATAATTATACATCCATTTAATCGTGGATGACATTTAATTAATAGAGCTCAAGAGCTTCTTTTACCTTTTTGATTGGTGAACATTTTGTACATTTTATCTTATGATATTAAACCTAAATAAACTTTATATATATATATATATAACTAAAAATTCTTAAAACATACTTAGAAATGTAAACATCATTACCATAAATTATTCTAATCCTGCATTTAAATCTATTTTATTCCCATTTATACAAAAGGCTAAACGCTCTGGTTGTGTTGCCTTTTGTGTGGACATTAAAGAGTTAAACGTCTGAAACAACTAAACGCAAATAATGTTTCTATAATAACTGTAATTTTGCAGAATAAACAGTAAGTCGTGCGTAATTTGCGCAATGCAGGAATGACCTATAGGAGCTCATCTTTCAGCGCCGTGTCCATGTGGTTTCATTTTCCTCTAATGAAACACGTGTGTGTTGTTTTTCCAACTCTTCCGGTGCACAAATCCCCAGAGAAGTTTGTTTTTCTGTCTTTTATAAAATAATAAATTGTATTATTTAGTTGTTTTTTTCTGAGGCATTTACTGGATGTCGATAACTGAATACCTGTAGCTACACCTGCGCAACAGCTCTCCCCTGCGACCGGCTGAAACTCTACTCCTGCTCCTCTCTACCTGACTCACAGCTCCGGTGACTCACTCGCTCCAGCCTCACGGACAGCCGCGGCTCTCGCAGCGAGGCGCTCGCTCATTACCAGCAATCGTTTGGTAAGACAAGCCGGTCTGATGCGCTGACTGGAAATCATGAGCAGCCTCGGAGACAGGAGCGCGCCGACGGTCCAGCGGAGACGTGGAATGTCGGTGCGTAAAATCTGTGCGCAAAAACGGCGTGGAACTTGCGTGTTTTCCTCAAGGCAGAGGCGCTAAAGCAAACATCTGTCCGGGCCAGGCTTCAGAGGCGTGATAGGTCGCGGCGCAGGGAATGGATCCGACTCCAGACACCACGTGTTGGAGTCGCATCAGCGCAGTAATTACCGCGCGCTCGAGCTATATAAACCACAAAAAGCCTGCGCACGGGAACCCCCGGCCTCTAAACACTAACCACATTCACGGCCACAAAAACGGGACCCGCTTCCCTCCTCCTTCATCTCACCGCCGATTATTTTCTTCTTTTTTCATCAGCTATTTTTAACCCCGCGACTCGACCGGAAGAACTTTCAGAAATATATGTCCGGACTTGGTGGGATTATAAATCTCCCTGTTAAACATTGTTAAGGCCTAATCTATTGACTTTGAACACTTTTTTTTGTGTGAAGATAGCCTGCGGGGCTTCAGAGCGCCTTTCAGTTTGGCACAAAGACTTCAATGACGCACCTGGAGCTGCGCTTTGACTTTTTTTTAAACTAAAGGAAGACAGACAAAAGTTTTTAGAGCGGCTGGGTCGACTGCTCCTTTTTAGACCTGCCCTTTTTGTAATTGTATAGCCTGTTACGCGCTTGGAGATTTATTTGATGTTATTTATATCCACATGTGCCTGCGTTAAACGGCGCACGAGCTCTGTCTGGGAGAGGATCGAAGAAAAAGCTTAAAACAAGTTCTTTTTTTAGGGTTTTTCTTTCTTTCTCGTGTGTTTTTTAGTCGCTTGTTGAAGTAGAGAAAGTTTGGAAGCGCGAGCTGAGCCACACACTCCCGGCTGTGTGTGTGAGAGAGAGAACTTGGAGAGCTTTGCTGTGCCTTTTTTCTTATAATCCACGGTTGTTGTGATGCGAATTCCCGTAGATCCAAGCGCCAGCCGGAGGTTCAGTCCGCCGTCCAGCAGCCTCCAGCCGGTCCCAGGGAAGATGAACGACGTGAGCTCACCGACCGGGCAGCCGGACGCGGCGGCGGCGGTGCCGAGGCTGCGCCCCCACGAGAACCGCAGCATGGCCGAGATCATAGCAGACCACCCGGCCGAGCTGGTGCGCACCGACAGCCCGAACTTCCTCTGCTCGGTTCTGCCCTCCCACTGGCGGTGCAACAAGACGCTGCCTGTCGCCTTTAAGGTGAGTCAGAAAAAACATGGTCTCATTCAAGTGTCTTTGTGTTGTCATTTAACTGTAAAATGGGTGAAATAAACTATTTTTTAATTCTACAGAAAATGTATTCATAAAAAGTCTGAAATGTGTCCAAACATACTGCAGTAATTCTGCAGAAAATGTTTATTTTCGTGCTACAACCTCACTTTATTTTTGAAAATGTGTTAAATAAATATAGATTTCATATAAAAATAGATATTCTCTCCTTTACCCAAGCAGACACGTGACTCCATTCAAATTAGTTGACGTTTAAAAATTACTAATAAAAACCCATAATTAAAAAAACACCTATAACATCCTAAATGCTTATTTAATTCATTCATCATTATTTACAATTTCTTGTAACAATTATGGCAAAATAATGCTATTTTTTCCTGCAATTTCAGACATTTTCTTCTTCTTTTTTTACATTTCTTGTTTTAATTATAAGAAATAAACAACTTTAAGGTTTGAGTTTTTGCACATAGAAGCCCAAACACCAACAAAAAAAACCTCTAAACGCCACTCAGAGTTATGTTTCCAATATTCTCAGCTGTCGTGATATTTCACTGGAAAAAGGCCCCCTTAATTACTCAGCGGGCATATTTTCAAGGCCAGATCAAAGACTCAGAGCTTGGCTTCAGATTAAATGTGACACTTTCTGAAATATATCTAAGTGTTATTTAGCTGCTGTTATTGCTCTGTAATTACTGCGTCCAGGAATCTTAATGACACCAACACAGTGACACACATCCTGGTGTCAGAGGCGTTTAGAAGGAATCAAATTAAATCCATTTATCCACATGACGCAGAGGAGAATGGCGTGATGTAAAACAATAAGGGTAGATGAGCTGTTGGGGGTGAAAACGGGAATGTTTTTGGATTTTTGGATCATTTTTTAAACCGTTTCTGCTGCTTGACGAGAAAGAAAGAGAATCATTTCCACCAAAGCTGCATTCTCCCTGTGTGCCTTTGACAGGTGGTCGCTCTGGGGGACATACCTGATGGGACGGTTGTCACCGTGATGGCCGGGAATGATGAGAACTACTCCGCTGAGCTGCGGAACGCCTCGGGCGTGATGAAGAACCAAGTAGCACGTTTCAACGATCTTCGCTTTGTGGGCCGCAGTGGCAGAGGTGAGGCCTCACACACTCTCCTGTTTGCGCCTGCAGCTCACACAGAGCTATTAGGTTCAGCGGTGTGGATTAGTGGCCACACTCCCTCAGAGGCAACCACATAATGATCCCTGGAACTCCAGGAGCCAAACCCCAGCTCCTATCTCCATAAGCCTCCACACTCTCAGAGATTTATGGGTCCTTATGAAAAAGGTTTCTGTGCCTTCTCACCTGTTGTGGATTGCAGCCTCATCTGGGAAAAATACAGTTGACCCCCAACACGATTGATGAGCTAACGGCTAGTCTGACTGCAGCTATTTTAAACAGGCTCTGCATCTCTTTACATTCATTTTATGGTTACTTTTCAACCCTGAATATCCTAAATGTAGCACCTCTATTACATCCTGGTGTCAAGTTCAGGAAAGAACGACTTCTGCCAAATTAAAAATAGTTAGCAATTTTGACGATGATGCAAATGTTAGCATACATAATTAGGGCACATTTTTTATTAGCTAATCATAAATATTTTTTATGACAGCCCTATTAAAAATATGGCTGTGCCATTAACACAAAACCTGACATTTCAACACATTTCCTTTCCCTAGTGTAAACTATGTGACTCATCATGTGTAAGCATGAATCATAGAAGGTAAACGATGAAATATGCACCTTCACAAGTCACAGATGAAATCTTTTCCAAATAATTGTAAATCTTGTGACAAAGTTCTTTGAATTGCTGTGATATAATTTTGAAGCTACATCAGCCTCATTTAGGAGGTTTGGACAGTTGCTGTGGCTCCTTTAGGATCGTAGCTATGAGCTAGATTCACATCCAAAGCAGATCCCTCTTCCAAAAAAACAGCCTCATTCTATCCAATTTTAAGATTCGACTCCCAACATCATTTATAATCCGTACTATTGTCTCAGTGGGACTCAACTCAAGGAAGTAGAAATGCACAAAATCATGTCAAAGGTCATGTAGTGCTCAGTGGGCAGCAGTGGTTAATGACGTATTGCTGCATAGACTGCTATGAATGTTTGGAGACATTAAAACATGTGAAAACATTCCAAATTCGCATATGAAACATGTACAAAACATGCGTTTAACATGTTGATGAGGCATGTTTTGCTGCATTTTTACAAGAGTTCGTGTTATGTGTTCTTACTTCACACGGGAGCAGCTAATTTCATATGCCACATGTTAGCATTACATGTGAAAACTTGGAATTGAAATATTGACATATACACTGGACATTTAATGTCCACAGGCTCGAATTATAAGGCTTTGTTTCCAAATGGGAGGTTCCCACCACCGCCATTTTGATCGTGTCACACGTCTCGTCGTGCCCAGACAATCCAAAAACTAGAGAAGAGGTGGAGCTAAGTACCGGTTGGAACAAATGAACCAATATAGCTACTATCTAACTTAGCTAACCCAAGAAGCTATGGAGGGGCTCAGGGGTAGCCAAACCGCTCGGCCGCTTGGCTTCCGAGGAAAGCTGTAGTCATGCTGGTCGCCTGTGGAGATCTAATACGGACCCCGACCCTTAAATTAAAGGCAGAGCTTCAGACCACTGTGATCGTAGCCAGGCGCCGTGGCCTTTTACATCAGCTCATGCTACACAGTCGGAGATCAGCAGGACATTAGCTACATGCTAAACCAAAGCTAACAGAGTTTCAACGGGCGTTTTTAGCAAGAAAAATGCGGTAGAGTGACTCCAAAGTAAAGGCACCTTCGACCTGCTTAGTAACAAAATCATAACTAGGTTAGCTGACCAAGGATATCAGGCTTTGCTGCTCCACCGTTGTCGATGGTCCCGGCTCTGGGACACCCAAGTGACCAAGCGATGTTATGGTAAACGCATAAAATTTCCCCCAATTCAACCAGCAAACTAGTAGCGAGAAAAATGTGGTTGAACGACTCGAAGTGAAGCAGGGTCAACTAAAAAACTGTGGTGTTTCTTTGGTCTCCCTCAGAGATCCGCCATCGACCAGCATTTTATTTTATTTTATTTATTTATTCTTTATTTAACCAGGAAGGTCCCTTTCAGAATAAAAGTCTTCTTTTCAAAGGAGACCAGGCAGCAAAAGTTACAGTTACAAAATATTTCAGGTACGCAAACATGTGATGCACTAAATTACAGAAGGCAGTTACAACACAGGGAATCCGTCTCAAGGGCTCTCAGTCTGGTTTTAAATGTATTCAAGGAGATTAACTCGGTTAAATTCCAGTTTTGTTTTCAGCCTGTTCCATGCAGAAGGAGCTGAGTGAACAAAAGGGCTTCGGCGCGAGCAAATGGAACACAAAGTAACAACAACTAATAATAATAATAATAATAATAATGCATTGAACATATATAGTGCTTTTTAGGACACTCGAAGACACTTTCTCACACTCTCACGTTCACACATTGCTAGTGATGGTAAGCTGCTTTGTAGCCACAGCCGCCCTGGGGAGGTCTGACAGAGGCGAGGCTGCCATTTGGCGCCGTCGGCCCCTCTGACCACCACCAACACAGGTCAGTTGGGTGAAGTGTCTTGCCCAAGGACACAACAGTAGAATACCCCGGGCAGGAGCTGGAAGTGAACCCATGAGGCAACCCGCTCTACCACCTGAGTACTGCTGCCCCGCAACTGATTGTTTTCAGAACCTGCAAAATAAAGTACAGAAATATAATTTTACTTCCTGATAAAAATGAAGCAGGAACTGCGCGGATGATCTGTTAGTGCAGTCAGCAACCACGGTTTGCCCTCTTTGTCCAAATAATTCCACGATTAACACCTAAACACGAACAGACACAGACAAAACTAAAGTTTAGAGAGTCGAAATGGCCGAACATCTATTAATGCCAGGCTGAGGCCTTTGCCCGGAGCTAGCTCTGAAGTCGCGTGGCTCTGATGCTCATTAATTATTCAGAATTGTAATCATTTGATTCCACTTCAACACGAGGATTACAAAAATTCACGCCCCTCAGAGTTGTCATGAATGTAAACTAGATTTATTAAACCTAAAACGTTTTTGGACCAGGCTGTAAACATGTTTATTTCGGCTGTGGAATTAGCATTTTAAACATGGGAGTCAATGAGGATTTGCTCACTTCCGGTGCCAGCCCCTAGTGGATGAGGGTGGAACTGCAATATTTGCTACTTCTGTGATGGTTTCATGTTCATCCCAGGATTATGGGTGCTTGGTTTTTTTCTATGAGGGCGTTGATTTGAGATGACAGCAATACACCAACTAGCCGCTAGCTTTTCAGTCCTGTAGTGTGAGAATGAGTTCAGAAGGAAAAAGAGCTCATTTAAAGCAGGCTGATTGTATCGACAAATGACGATAATTAAGTCTAATTAATTAGATATTAGTAATATAAAATAAAATGTCTTATAAAGCAAAAGTGCATTTAGGTCCTTGGTCTTTATTGTGCTTTGTTATGTGATTGACACACACACACACACACACACACACACACACACACACACACACACACACACACACACACACACTAGTTCATAAACATCCAGAACCACAGCTGCAGGATTAAAAGACATTTCTCTGGACTGAGGCTGTTCAGGAAGCTACCTCCACAGATTTAACACTTACAGTGTTTACGCATGTAAACACTTCAAAAGGAGTGAAAAATCACATAAAGCAGGTTTTTGTCCCTTTCTTTCACCTGAAACGACCCGGCTCCTTCAGGCTCATAAACTGTTGGGAGGAGCCCCCCCCCCCCCCCCCCCCCCACCCCCCACCCCCCACCCCCGCCCAGTCTCATCAGGCTGACAGAATGAAACAAACTCACATTCAGCCGAATGACATTGCTCAAATATTTGGCTTCGCTGAACGAAACTTTACTCCACTTACTGCTCCCGTCACTTGTCATTAAATCAACTTTTTTTTAAAGGAGCCGATGCTTTTATTTGTCCTGGAAATCTTTCATAACCGACGCTCAGGCTGTCAAAAAGGGAGGAGGGAGAGGTTTGGGTGATGCAGGTGCTGTTGTCACAGAAACCTTGCATGCGTCCCTTGTTTCTTTTTTGGTGACACAGATAACAGGAAGTGACACAGGAGCCCTGGTGGATCAGACTACGAGGTGTCTGAAATGAACACACCCCCCCCCCCCCCCCCCCCCCCAGTGACAGATAAGAACAAGCACAGAGAACTGATAGCATGTTAGATAGCTAAGCGTCATGCACAGAGAGGAGGATAGAGCCAGCTGGGGTGAAGGAGTGAGAGAGGTGATAACATAAATGCGTCCGACAGGTTATTAAGAGAGGAATCGGATACTCTTCATAAGATCATTAGACCTAATAGGGCTTGCAGGAATAGCTGGACAATAAGCCCAAATTAGATGGCAGGTAAAAGGCAGAAGGGAGACGGGATGGTGGAGCACCAGGTGTCCTGTTTTTATCCCACAACATTCTTGTGCACCTTAAATCAGGTATGTGCATCCTGTCTTTATCATAAGAGAGGTTAGAAGCAGGAGGGGAGGGGGGGGGGGCACACATGCAGCTGAACGGACAGCTGCTGCAACCCCACCGCCCGCCTCCCCCTCTCTTCCCTTGCCTCCTCCTCACTGCCTCCCACGTGTTGCGTGGTGCGTTTGCATGCTTCAGACGTTAGCATGGCTGCTGACTTGGCTGTTGCCATCTGATTCACAGCATTCCTCGTGCGTGAGCATTAGAACGCACACACTTGCACAGACAAGCAGTCCACCCCAAGGCAGCAACTGCTGGGGATTATCGAGAGAGGAAGTGACTATTAAAATGCCTCTCGCCCACTCACGCTGCATCAGAGGTTCTGGATAATGAGATACTGGCTCCTTCATTTTCATCTTTCTGTTTAGACTCTGCCAAAACAACTACACAGACCTTCTTAAATCAGCAGTTCTCTGTTGTTAATCCTCTCCGAGTCAAACTTGTCCTGGTTTTTATTGCCGCTGTGTGATCCCTTCCACACTTGTGACTTGGGGATGGGTTAGAGATGAATACCAGTCATTGTCTTCACAGACTGCACATCATTTGATGTTCTTTGATGTCACCACAGGCAAGAGCTTCACGCTGACAATCACAGTATTCACCAACCCTCCACAAGTGGCCACTTATCACCGAGCTATAAAGGTCACCGTGGATGGACCGCGTGAGCCCAGGAGTGAGTACCAACGCATGCACGGCACTGAAATGTGCTTATACAACACAAAACAACCAAAATACAACATGTTTGTGTCACACTTCGTTTTAAACTAGATCAAAGACTAGTAGCAGTCCACATTTTAGCTGCATCAGCCTTCAAAGTGTTAAAAACTCCTTTTCCCACAATGCCTCTCCTTAAATTTATCTTTGCATCTGCAGTTGCTCATGCAGGATCAGATTGTAGAACAGTGATAAAGAACATTAATAGTGAAACCAGACATCTGAACACAGCCTGGAGTTTGAAGCAGGAATTCAGCAAGCGCCCCTAGTGGCTGGTTTTGGTACAGGATTTAAGCCCCGCCCCCTCTCTATTTAATTGAATACTACATTTCCATGATCATAAAAGGTTTTGATTCATACTCGCTGCTGCATGCTCAGATATTTCTATTTCTAATGTATTTAGTCTGTACTGATAGGATGTGTGTGTGTGTGTGTGTGGGGGGGGGGGGGGGGGGGGTCCATTCCTCTGTGCATTAACTCTTTCACTGCCAGCTGTTTCCTGATCAGTAAAACCCTTCGCTGCCAGCGTTTTTCAGCGTTTTTACAGTTTTTTCAAGAATTACAGAGCGTTGCGCGCTTTGATGATGTCAACGCCAAAACTACTAAAGCAAAGAGTAGACTCACCCTCTTACATCAGGAAGAATACGCGCGTTTCAAACGTTATCCGTTCTTTCATAATCCGTTGTCGAATTGTGATCGGCAGAAGCTTTTCCGGTTCGCGCCTCACTTTTTTTTTTACAGCATTGGCCCAAAGTGATCTCCAAACACATGGATGTTCTGCTTCCTGATCACGTGACGTGTGACGTACGCGGATGAAGATCAGCTTTAGAGCTGGGATGTCTGTTCTCACTGTGCGGGGACTCGTCCGACGCCCACACAGTAAAAAAATGGCAGTGAATGGTTAGATTTAAAATGACGACTTTTGTCGTCACTGGCAGTTAACGAGTAAATGTGCGAAAGTTACTTTTTCACTGATTCAAACAGGTTTGCGTACTGACCCAATGTGTGAAATGAGGGTTCTGTCCCTTTAAATAAGTTGTGGGTGTGCCTTCGTGGAGCCAACCAATGCTCAGCTAAATACAAAACGCTATTTAAACAAGCGAAATAACAGTCGTAAAAAAAACAAAAAAAAGCTTTTACTGGAAGATGCTCTAAATCCTGTAAACAGACAATCAACTGGCTTTTAATTAAATGAAACAGTCGAGTTTCCCATGCAAGAGAAAGAAGAGACATAAATGTGAGACAAAGTATCCCTGAGAGGGTACACTGGGTAGCAGAGTGCTAGCATCAGCTTATTTTAATGGGCCTTATAAAAACAACTGAGGAAGAAAAAAAAACTTTACTATAGCCGTCAGTGCCAACTGGTCTGGCATGCAGCTGTTTCCACAGACCTCCTCCCTATTCATAAAAAAAAATAACGTATTCTCATCTCAAGGCATCTCATTGAACAATATCACATCACAAAACAGTCCACCCAGCCGCCTGCCCTGTCACATATGGCACCAGGAAACACGAAGACACAGAGGAGCCAAGAGACAGTAGGATTACTACCACCATCGCTCTGCCTTGTAGGAAACCTGCTGGCGGTGCCAAGAAATGCACACACACACACACACACACACACACACACACACACACGCATGGGCTCCACGTCACACTACTCGGAGACATGCGCCCCGAAAAACAAAGGCATATGCAAGTCCTCAAGCGCATATGTACTCACAATCACGCCCACTTCTCCCCACCGCCCGCTCTCGCTTTTGTTTGATCAAAAGCATTTCCTGTGCATCTGCTGTCCCCCGTCAGATGACTTTCAAACAAGTCTTGTTACTTAGTGGCAAGCAGATGGGAGTCGGAACTGTTTGTTTAGGAGAGCTGAACTTGACCTCAACAAAGTTGGAGCTTTAGGTCTGTCTCAGAAAGCCTCGTGGGAGAGACGGAGCTGGAGACAAGTCAGAAACAGGCCAGGAGTTCTACCTGATAACAGGTGAACGGAGGCCAGCTCTGTCTTTGTTTATCTTAAAGTGTTTAATGTTAAATTTGAAGTTTTAAACGATGTAAACTCAGCTACCTTATCCAAGACAAAACAAATATATACCAAAAGTAATGAGTACAAAGATCCAGAGAAATGTTAGAGTGACGACCAGTGGAGCATTTGGGTCGCCATGGTAATCAAATGGGGCTTTTATGGCGTACTAATGCTAACGACATACTTCCTGGTAGCTAACTTAACTAATAAAAGGCTGATGGGAAATTAGACTAAAAAGTAAACTTTCAGAAAGGCTCTGATTGTACCGCATATGAATTTATACGTTTCTGTGTTTTATGTTGGAGACATGAAAAGTTTCACTTTCAGTTTCAAAGAGGAGTTGGAGCTAAAATGTAAATTAGGATATTTGGGTGTCTGTTCTGAGGGGATTTGAGTAAAAAGTCCTACAGCGGGGGAGACACATTGGGTAAAAGAAAACAAAAATAGCTGCATTTCCATAAAACGTTTGTAAATGTCGTAAAGGGTTTGCAGGAATAAAAATTGTTTTGCACAAAATTCCAATTTTTGACTTTTAAAAGATTAGATCATAATTAATTAAATTTCTAAAAATGATCCAAACTTAAACCCTGATGGTGTAAGAACCAATAAAGACACGAAAGTACCAGTTTAGCCAGCTTTCTGTGACCGGTTTCAACCCTGGATGTTGAAGTCTACCTGAGCTACAGCGCTCCCAAAGGGGCGGAGCTTTGTCGCCTGATTCAGTGAAATCCCACTGTTGTAAACACTAAAACGTCTCTAAATTTTACTGAAACCCAGCTTTCTCATTGTTGTTTTTTAAGATGCAGGATGTTAAAATGTATTTGAATATTATAACCAATTATAAAGAAGTGTTTTCTTTCATAATCCTTATATTTCTATATTTTTGCTGTGCAATGGTCAGAATTACAGTAGTGGTGTAATTCATCCAGGATATGCAGCCAGAACATGTTTCCTTCCCAGGGGTCATTAAGCCGAGGTCGAAGGGTGCCAAAGCACACATGTGCCCCCCTCTCTGACCCTCCTTCTTTCATCAGCGACTCTCATCGAGATGAGAGCGCCGGCTGACTCTGCCTGTGAACGTGTCGTTTTAACGTGTGTGTGGGGGGGGGGGGGGGGGGGGGGGGGGGGGGGGCGCTTCATTGGCCAGTACAGCTCCAGCTTTGTGCTAAATGAGCAGGTAATTGGGGGGGCGCTACACTGGAGAATGAACAGTAGGCTGTCTTTAAAAAGTGATTCTTCTGTCTTGTTGTTTTTGTCTAAAACAAACACTGAAGAATTTTTTGATGCTTTTATTGATTCGCTTTCACCACTTCCGGGTTCCACCGGCATCTCTCCCGCTCTGTTTTAATAACTCGCCGGCTGTGGGCGTCTCATTCAGGAAGGACGTTTTGTGTGTGTTTGATGAGCCTCATGGCAGCCATATGAGTTTTTTTTCCTTGAGGGATGTGATTTTCCCTCAGTCTAATATCTGTGGGGGGAATAAAGCGGGGACCACCTGCGAAGGCGCTGGGCCCCTATCTCAGCTAGCACTAATTAATTGTGTGGTCGGAGTGATGAATATTAGTGAGGTTTAGTTTGAAGATCTTGTGGTGGGAGGTTTACAGTGTGCACGTGTGAGTGTGTGTGTGTGTGTGGCTTTGGTTAGTTAGTCAGGTCCCTCTGGCCACTTTGCTATTAGCAGTAGGCTAACTTGGTTTCTGTGGCTTGCATTGTTCCTAATAGCCTGACAGCTCCTGGTTACCCTGTGGTTTGCCACTGCACCAGCAGCTTAGTAAGTGTGTGTGTGTGTGTGTGTGTGTGTGTGTGTGTGTGTGTGTGTGTGTGTGTGTGTGTGTGTGGCCATGTATATAGATACGATCTGCAAAAGCATGCATGTCTGAGGGCTAGCTCGTGCATATGGATGTTCTGCAGAAATGTGTGTGTGTGCGTGCGTGCGTGCATGCGTGCATGCGTGTGTGTGTGTGTGTGTGTGTGTGTGTGTGTGTGTGTGTGTGTGCCATTAGTCTAGTGCAGCCACAGTGCTGATTTGAGGCAGAGCTAATAGGCCTCATTAAATATCATTTTGAGCTAATAGACAGGGAGTGGTTGTTTAAACCAATATGCTTTTATAGGTGGTTCTGTCTCCTCTCAGTTGCTCCTGATGGTGGCTGAGACAAACTTCCTGAGTGATTATAGCCGAACTGCAATAACACAATGTACAAGGCTTTCTGTCCAAACCCACTGTTCTCATTAGACTTAATTGATGACAGACAAAAACAGAGAAGGTGACCAAAACAAGCGTGGCATCACAAACAGACAAAGGCACAGTGTCTTCCAGTTCTCCTTAGCTGAGCGTGAGTGTTTGTGGTCGGATCGGCTCTTCGCCTGCTCAAAGCGGATGCATCTTGGGGCTTCTGGGATCAGGGACACCAGTTGTGTTTTAGTCGGGGTGTTAACAAGTCTGGTGAAGAAGTCCTGGTTGCTTACAAGCCTGCAGACAATATTAGTGGTTCTAGGGCGCGTCTGCCAAGCTAAATTCTCGTAACACACACACACATATATGCACGCAGAAGCTTACTTCTGGGTTTCTGTTCAGTTTTTGTTCTGGAAGCGTACTTTTTACCAGCTGAGTGCATTAGATCAGGCGTTACCAACTCCAGCCCTTGGATTTCACCACCCTGCACAATGTTAGCTGTTTCCTCATTCCTTCTTTTGAATAAAAACAAATGAAGTCCAATTAAAGGTTAACGTGACGGTGTGTGTTATCCTTGGTGATAGGAGGCAGTACATACCTAAATCATAGCAAGCAGTTTTTTTTTGTGTGTGTGTTTGAGTAAGATCTCACCAACGGATGCCCATTAGGGTCAAAAATCACTAGGAGTGTAACCTCCAGCAAAATGACAATCACATCAGACTCTCTTTCTTCTCTGGCAAGTGAAGAGGTAAATGTG